AATAATAATAATAATAATAATAATAATAATAATAATAATAATAATAATAATAATACCTTTATTAATGGTGAGGCTCAGTCCATAGGGCCTGCTCTCACCATCACCATCACAAATAAGAAATACAACGTGTTTGATAAATCAAGATTGATTAATTGTTTAGTGTTACCCGTCGCGTCTACTGCCAAGATCATTAGTTTCGTAAGTATAGCGTATGTTCTTTTTTAACACGGCAGGAGGCGGTGTTTTTTGCGCGTTGAAAGGTATGGTCCGGCGCCCAGCTAAAAGTCACTTTGCGAGTTTTCCGACATCATGATATCTCTCACCAGCGGAACAAGCTATAAGCTCTCGAGTGGTCTCCTGGCATGTGGGGTAGTTTTGCATGTAAGTGTGTGTGTGTGTGTGTGTGTAAGGGGTGAGGATAAGACAAGAAACTGAAAGGAAAGATGGTGCCTGGTCCGTGGCCCGTTTGTATGGGTACTGCTCCGGCGTTCGTCTGATATTGACTGGAGAAACCACGACAAACAGCCGATCAGAGCAGCCGTCCGGCACTGTTGCCGTCCGACAGTGTTGCCGGACGTACCAGGATCCTCGTATTTTTAGTAGAATTTTAATGAAGATACCATGGTAAAGACATCCTGGTAAACTTAAATACCAAAATTTTAAGTATACGGTAATTGATGTAAATTTGTAAGATTCGTTTAATATTATTTTATTCAATCACTTAAAACTCACACCAATATGACAATAATTTTGATATTGGTGGAAACATTGCGGCAAAAACATTAGGGTGACATCGGATGGTCTTTTTCTTGCACATGCTATACTTAGTATAAAAGATACGATAGATGGTTACGCTTCTTCCTTCTAGTTTATCGATAAAAAATGAATCGGTATGAATCGGAACGAACTTACTATGCGCGTTAAAAACACAATAGTTATAATATGAACAATATCAGAATTTAAATCAATTGACTGACGTCCGGTAGAGTTCTCCTCCAGGCCCACTGACTTCCATTGAATTAAAACACATATAGGAGACCATATGGGAACATAGAGCTTGTCCCCACTGGTGTGATAATGAGATACCTGCATGCGAATCCCCCACAAACTAACTTTAAGTACGCCATATCTCACCTACACGCGGTGAGAGACACCGCCCCCATCAGCACCCAGATAAATACATTCACCACACTAACGGGACTAATTGCCGTGGCAGTTGACGCGTCCGGGAGCATCAATGAAGGAGCTGGGTGCATGCGAGCGAGGCGTGGTCGGCGTCCTTGGCCTGCTGGAACGAGGCCGGCCACGCCCCCTCGGCGCGCGGTCCCCAGGGGGCCGTGGCGTGATGCGAGTGGGTGGGGGCGGGGCGAGGCCTGCCGGCGGATGCCGGAAGTGCCCGGCGGTCGGTCATTAAGCCGTTCGCTCCCCGGGCGGACGCATTTGAGGATTCCGTTTTCCTGCAGGCGTTATTATGTACTAATAAATATTAGTGTTTATTTTTATTAATAGAAATGACTTTCGTCGGAGAGTCTGACAATCAGTGATCATACTGAGACTCGCCGTTGTCATTTCCCCAGACCACATTTGTTTATTTTTTGTAAAATATGGAATTCTCTTAATTATTTTATTTCTTTTATGTCATCAAATTTGTATCATGCATTGTAAAATTTGTCTTTTCTTGAATATATTTGCAAATGTTTATGAATTTGTAGAGGAATTAGTACAATAAATAATAATTATTATTCCCGTAAATGTTTGCGTGTTTATTCATGGGAGATGAAGGTCATCTTTCTTTGATAGTGAGATCCAACGCCGACGTACTAGGTCTTTAGTTTAACTCGCAACCCATGTGTGGGAACACTCCTCTTGTTTTGGCAATTTGGCAATACCTTCTCCTTCCTTTGTCACTTTAGCGACCCAGTGCTCTCAAAATTCGGGCTGGGAGAATGTGACTAATTTTAGTTGGAAGAAGTAGCAAGCTCTTATTCTGTCCTTGCTACTCTTGACCGTGCTACAGCCACTACACTGGAAAGAGTAAATGGCTCTCTCTCTTGGCAAATAGTATTCGCTTTGAGTATTTACCTGAAGGAAATTACTCTAACTACTCTATAAAAATATAATTTTCTAAATGTCTTCAATACTACTTGTCTATAATACTTGTATTATAAACGAGGCTTGGTGATATTTTGCAAACTCCATCTTCACTTTTCTAGTGATAGAT